ATTTTCAAGAATGATTTACTGTCAGCAACATATAGGTATACTAGCACACACTTATTAAGCCAAGTCAACTGATAAGATTGTGACAAGTTAAGTACAATGTCCTCCTGTCCTTTGTTCTGTTGTTTTTTGGTTAAGATTATCCTTTTCCGTCTCCTAAAAGTGGCCTCATCTTGTGAGTATCATCTATTTTATGAATACTTCTTTAACATTCAACTTTGAGCAGGAACAATAGTGCTTATTTCTGGTTTCACTTAACACTTGCTTTTGTTTCACTAGTGCACACATTTCTTATGCTCAAACTTCCACTGTAACTGTTGTACACTTTCCCCTTCAATGGATTGTGGGCTCCTTAATTGTGGTTACTGTGCCTTTTTATCCTTTGTTTACCAGTATAGGGCCAGGCTTCAAGTAGACACTCAATCAAGTATCTTTCAATTTGTTCTCATTTTTGTCCTTCTCCCACCCCCTTTCTTTATTCCACCTTTTTATTTTTTAATTTTTGGTGCTGGGATGGAACCCAAGACTTTGTGCACTCTAAGCATGTGTTCTACCATTGAACTACACCGTCAGCTCTCAATTGTTTTTTTTTTTTTAAATTTTTTCCCTTTACTTCTCTCCCTTTATTAGTTCATGCCTTTCCTGCTTTGATCTCCATATTATGAAAAGATAATATTTTTTAACTACAAAATGATTCTGTTCCCATATATTATTGACAAAGAAATTGCTATTTTTTTTCTGCATAAAGCAATTTGCCATTCTGGGCCCGGTGAAGCTTCTGAGACACTGTTAGATGCACAATATAATTTCACATCTGAAGTAGGGCCTGCTAGGATTTTGATGGTTAATATTCAGGAATGTCTGCTCCAGGTACTCAGCCTCAGTTAGAAAATCCAGTAAGAATTTTTTTTTTCTTAAGAGTGAGAAAAAAATCTTCCTTCACTTATCCTTTCCTTGAACAAACCTGCTGTAGTTTTCACATTGTCAAAAGTTGTGTAGCCAGGTATGGTGTTGCATGACTATAATCCCAGCTGCTCAGGAGACTGAGGCAGGAGTATAGAAAGTTTAAAACCAGCCTCAGCAAGTTAGCAAGGCCTAAACAACTTAGAGAGACCCTGACTCTAAATAAAATATAAAAAGGGCTAGAGAGGTGGCTCAGTGGTTGCCCTGGGTTCAATCCCTAGAACCAACAAACCAACAAAATCTTGGGTAGATTAGTTGGAAGACTGTATTGCTCTTTATAAATAGAGAGTGTTGCAACCACCAGAATAGCAAAGATAAGAAAACATATACAGCTGGTTCTTTGCTTAGGGGTACAGGGCACTCCAGCATAGGTACAAGATGAAAGGCACTAGGAAAAAATTAGAAGACAACATCTTGTGAAATCACATTTCACTAATAGCACTGTGACAATCTCACATAATATCAGAAAATATTTTAGGCAATGGTATGGAAACATTCCTGAGAAGATTTTCCTTTCTTCTTCATGATAATGGTTTAAAGAGCTACAATTCCAGGTGGGAGTCCTAGATATACAATGGGCCTCAAAGGATGCTTTGTTTTCAAGATTGAATCAAAAGAGATTATAGCCATGGATAGGAGGAAGTCTCTTGGCCAGATGTTACAAATTTGGACTGCATCTGTAATGTGTTTGATCTAAATATGTGTTAATTACTTTTAAAATTATTTGCCAAGATTTGAAATTTAAGATATTGTGTCATAAAATTCCAGATATGTTTATCATTTCATGAAATCAGAATATCTGACAACACTGGGCTTAAATCTTACATGGCTGCAATTGACTAAGGCTGGTTAGTCCTGTCCTTTGTAGATGTGCATATGCTTGCCCAGGACACATAATCCTGACCATCACTTTTTCCTTCTCCCTGCAAACAGGCTCCAATATCAGTTGCTATTAATCAACTTACTTGAATTCTCATTTTACTTATGATTAAAATCTCCCAGTGAATTTAAGAGGAAATAGTTCTTGTATCTATACTTATCATTAAAAAAATAAAACACAGACTGAGGTGGCTATGTTTCAAAACAGATGGGAGAGTTTGCATTTCCTTATAGGAATGGAAAATATTTCTACATCTTTACTGTGCATACAAAGTATACTTTTGGTGAAGGGATAAAACTTCAAATATTATAATTATTCCATCCATTATAGAAAACTACAATGGATATACAGAAATCCCCCCTTATCTAATCTAGGGGGATATGTTCCAAGACTTCCAATCCTTGAATCCATGGATAGTACCAAACTCTATCTAGGTATAGAATTTTTCCTATACATACATATATATGATAAAGTTTGATTTATAAGCGTGGCATGGTAACAGGTTAGCAATAATAAAGAATAATAAATTAGAACAATTCTGTCAATATACTTACTGAATAAAGATTATATAAATATGCATTTTCGAGGCTGGGATTGTGGCTCAGTGGCAGAACGCTTGCCTAGCACGTGTGAAGCCCTGGCTTTGATCCTCAGCACCACATAAAAATAAATAAAATAAAATAAAGTTATTGTGTTCAACTACAACTAAAAAATAAATATAAAAAATGTTTTTTTCTGTCTCTCAAAATGTCTTATTGTACTGTACTCATCCTTCTCCTTCTTGTGATGATGTGAAATGATGCAATGCCTACATGATGAGATGATGTGAGGTGAGTGTTAGGCTACTATATAAGGGTTATTTAAGCACAAGTACTGCAATATCACAATAGTTGATTCAATAATCAAAATGGTTACCAAGTGACTAATGGGCAGGTAGCATTCACAGCCCATATACAATGGACAAAGGGATGATTCATGCCCCAGGCAGAAAGAAGTGGAATAGCATGAGATTTCATTATGTTATTCAGAACACCAAGTAGGTTAAAACATGCATTGTTTGTTTCTGTGATTTTCCTTCAATATTTTTGGACTGCATTAATTGAAAGTAACTGAAACCTTGGAAAGCAAAAGCACAGGTAGGGGGTAACTACTGCATAGAAAAGATGTACAATAAAAATATTAATTTAAAGAACAGACTGAAAGTTCAACAAGTTTTGTATTTGAATGTATACCCTAGGTATTGCTGCTGGGAAATGCAGTCATGTCATCAGCAATAAGTTTTCTCAGGAATCAAAATATTTTACAGATGAAAAATTATAAAATTATCTCTACAGCACAACAGAAATTATGTATAAAAGTAGGAGTATTGTTGGTGCATTGAAGAAATGACTGAGACCATATATAGGGCAAGTTATTTTGAAAAGTTAAATTTCTTGTAACATTTTATTTTCAGCTTATGACAGCACAGATATAAAAAATGCCATAGAATTATACATACATTTTTCATGATGTCAATGAGAATTTTAAAGTGAATGAAGAAGTTTTTGGATGGCATTCTTTTAAGCAAATCAGTAAAAGGTTTTCTTAGCTATATTGAAAAAGCTCCTAAAAAGTATAATGTACATGCATACCCATGTTTATAGCAGCACAATTTACAATAGCTAAACTATGGAACCAGCCTAGGTGTCCATCAATGATGAATGTGTAAAGAAAATGTGGTATATATCCACAATGGGGTTTTATTCAGCTATACAAAAGAATGAAATTATGGCATTTGCAGGAAAATGCATGGAACAGGGACATTATGTTAAGTGAAATGATTCAAACTCAGAAAGTTAAGGATTGTATGTTTTATCTCATATACAGAGACTAGAGAGGAAGAAATAAAATAAAAATGGGGTAGATCTCCTAAAAATCAAAGGGAGATCAGTGGAGAAAAGGGGGAAAGGGGTGGGAGGTAAGGAGGTGGGGGAGGAATGCTGTGGAGTGATATTGGCCAAATTATATTGTTATATTTTGTGCTTGTACAAATATGTAAAAACAAATACCATCAATATATACAACAATACTGCACCAATTAAAAATGGGAGGAAAAAAGCCTAAGTAAAAAAAAAAAGTATAATATAAACAGATCATAGACTTGTTATGAAATATGCATCCAGTATTGCCGAGTTTTTCAGGGACCCAGAATTTACATTTGTTCACTGTTATATTCACATCTGATTTGTGGCAAAATATTCCAATAGACCACGTTATGAACATAGCAGTTGCCACCAGGAGCTGAAAACACTTCCCTTCACTAACTTGAACAACACACAGCTCAAAGCTTGTAGGAAAAGGGTGAACAGTGTGAATAGTTTCCATTTATGAACCTAAGTGCCTGAGATAGGCAGGGCAAAGAAATTCACTGAGCAAAAAGGTCAATTGTGTCTGGAAAGGAATCAACTCATTCCTTTAAGATACTGACATTTCCCTTACCTACACCCCTTTTAAGATTAATCTGTATAAAATCTGTAGTTGACATTGGAATTCCAGATAAAACATTAACACCCTCATGAAGAAAAAAAGATTTCAGTTTTCTGATTTGCACATCAAAATGGTAATAAATAAGTTATGAAAGAAAATTGTGATCATTAATTCTTGGTATTTCAAGTTTGGATTTTTATTTTTAATCTAAAATATCAGTAGTATGATTTTTTTTTGCTTCATCTCATATTATCACCCATAGTGAATAAAAGAAAACTTTATTACTTTTCTGGCAATGTATTTTTCTTAGAACTAGTGTGATTCACTCATTCAAAGTAGCTTTTCTGGCTCCTATAGACATTTGAGTTTGTGATGTCTGCATGAGATAACATTTTAGTCATTCCTCTCCCTGTCCCTACATTCTACCCTAAAAGAGAAGGAGACTGGTTATCAGTCTAGAAGTCTGTGAGTCATTGAAGGAAGAGACTATTTTGGGTTCATTACTATGAATATGGCATGCACTATAGTAATCATTCAATGAGTGTTGGATGAATGGATGAATTCAGTTAAGGACAGAACACATACCCAGAACTCTTTGGGGGTACAAGATATATTTAAATCTCATACAATATCAGTATCATAAATAATCATTTTCCTTTCCCTTCAACTTCATCTTGACTCTTCTCTGTCTTAGATGCCTATACAACAGCTGAAGTGGTTTATTCTTGGACTCTTGGGAAGAACAAATCTGTGGAAGTGGCACAGGATGGTTCTCGCTTGAATCAGTATGACCTATTGGGCCATGTTGTTGGGACAGAGATAATTCGGTCAAGTACAGGTATTTACTTATTTTATTTAACAAACATTTGCATAACATATATCACATGCCAAACACTGTTCTAAGTGCTTATAATATTTATTCTTCAAAACAATGTCATGACAAAGGAAACTGAGAGATAAAAAACTTCAGTGATTTGCCCCATGTCAGAGCTGTGTAATAGTAGAGCCCAAATCTAAACCCAGGCAGATTGACTCTTCAGTCCCTCTTTTTAAAATATTTTTTCAGTTGCAGGTAGACACAATCCATTTATTTTACTTATTTATTTATTTTTATGTGGTGCTGAGGATCGAACCCAGGGCTGCACACGTGCTAGGCAAGTGCTCTACCACTGAGCTGCAACCCAACCTCTCTTAAGTTCCTCTTAACCATAGTGTCCTGCTGCTTTTGCGGGGGGGTGGGGTGGGGTGTGGGGGGGGGAAGGTCAAGGGAGTATGGTAGAAGAGACAACAAACAAAGTGTTGGGAAAGCTGAGGTAGTGAGTTAATAACCCCAGTATAGGTCAGGCACACAGCCTGGAGGTCCAGGGAGTAGCCATGGAATTATTTTCCTAAGGGATCACCCACTTCAAAAAAAATGTTATTTGCAAAAATCTACCAGATCTTTTTTTAAAGAGAGAGAGAGAGAGAATTTTTAATATTTATTTTTTAGTTTTCGGCAAACACAACATCTTTGTTTGTATGTGGTGCTGAGGATCGAACCCGGGCCGCACGCATGCCAGGCAAGCACGCTACCGCTTGAGCCACATCCCCAGCCCCTACCAGATCTTTTTAATAGCTAGTTTTTGCATTTTAACAAATGGAACTGGAGATTTGTTCTGTAGCCTTAAGATTTTCCCATTTGTAAACTGGCCTGTTCTAGTGACCCAAGGAAGGAAATACCATGAAATCCCAATTAATGTTAAAGTGTTTGGCAAAATGGAATATATTCTGAAGCCCAATTATCACATAATATTTTTGCTGTGAAAAGATGGGAGCTTTCAACATTAATTTTTCAAGCAGCACTTGTCTCTGTGAATCCCCAGTTATAAATAAAGTAGTGTATTTTGTACTTTTGTTTCATTATCTGACCATAAGCTGTGATCTCATGATGTCATAGCATGTCATGTTCTCTGCTTTCCATTTTCCCTCAACCCCAGGGCCAGGGCAGGGTACCTAAAAAAGGTGCCATTTCAAATGTATTTGAGAGACAAAATGGATTTAGAAATCTACAAATAGGTGTGGGAAAGGCTATTCTTTCCCACAAAGGCTAGAGGTAAGAGAAACCATGTTGTAATGTGGCACAGCACAGCACAAAACAGCTGGGTGCAGCACAGCCAGCAAGGCCTTTGGTGAGGGCCTGCCCAGGGCTGCTGATATTTCCACCCCCAGGTAAGTACTTCATCCATCAGTCCACTCTCCTCACTTCCCAGTCCCTCCTCTGCACTTCCAACTGGCATCAACTTTTAAGATCAGTTGTTTGCTATCCACACAGCCTCAGATGCCATTTCATTTATTAAAACCACTGTTCCACTTTTATCACATGGACAGTACACATTCATGATAGGAAAATTAAAATTAAAACTACACAGAGGAGCCAATATTGGAAACTAAAATACAGTCAAACCTCCATGTCTCTGGGGTTTATATCTGCTATATTAAATCAAGTACAGATAAAAAATATTTGAAAAAAATCATATCTGCCCTGAACATGTACAGACATTTTACTTGTCATTATTTGCTAAACAATACAGGATAAGAATTATGAATATAGCATTTACATTATATCAGATATAAGGAAGCTAGAAATGAGGTAAAGCACAGGGGAAGACATGCACAGGTTCTATGCAAATAATATGCAATTTTATATGAGGGACTTGAGCAGTCAGGGATATAGAGGTATAACTGCACTCTTTAATTCCACTTTCTAGGAAAAAGTCTTCTTAGAAGATTTTTGTACATCAACTGGTTATTATACATTTTGATATTTAAGAAGATTCTCTTTGTATTTTTCACAAATATGCTTTATATAAGTGGATCCATACCCTTGATACTGTTTTATATGCTGCTTTTAAATTAGTTTTATATTTTAAACATGTTTTCATGTTAGTAGATATAATGGCCCAAATATACACAAAATTTAGTAACAGTATATTGACAATTAGAATGAACACGTGTTCTTTATTACCAGTTTTGGTTATTTCAAATAAAAAATAAAATTCTCTCTTACAAGGCCAGAGAATTCTTGATAATGATGTGATATGTGTTGTTGTCAATGGGAAGTATAGTGTTTCAGTTTGAAAATTAGCAAAATAACATCTTCACTGTTAGTGGCCTTATGTATACAGATCATAATCTAACCAATTATCTACTATTATGCTCTGTGTTTTCATGCTCTGAATAATACTCAAAGACCCTCTTTTTCCATATATCATTTTGCTCCTGTGTAATTCTCTTCCTAGCATACAGACAGAAAATTGAGATTGCTATTTCAGAAAGTAGACACGTTTTTTAAAATTTAATACATATTGACAGACTCCGACTCTGAAAGGTTAAACAATTCATACTCCCATTATCAGTGTATGAGCATGCTGCTTTCCCCTTACCTTGGCAACATGGATATTATAGATTGAATTATGTCCCTCCAAAATATATGTTGAAGTTTTAACCCCAATACCTCAAAATGTGACCTTATTTGGAAACAGCGTCATTGCAGATGTAACTGGTTAGGATGAGATCATTCTGCAATAAGGTGGTTTTCTAATCCAATATGACTGGAGTCCTTATGAAAATGGGAAATCTGGACACAAAACACTATGTAAACACAAAGGCAGTAATAGGGTGGATGTTTTTCCAAGTTGAGAAATGCTAAACATTGCTAGCAAACAACAAAACTAGCAAGAACCAAGTAAGGATTTCCCTATGGGTTTTAGATGGATCCTGTCACTGCTGACACCTTGATTTCAGATTTTTTTAAACCCATGAACATAGTGGTGAAATTGATAATGATAAAATTTTGAGCATATGATATGTTCCAAGCACTGCCCTGAGGACAGTATTTTCACTCATTTATACCTTTAACAACACTTTGAGGTGGCAGTATTATTATTCCATGTTGAAAGATGATGATATCATAGCTCTAATTAAATGTTTTAACAACTTATGCTTTACTTTTAGTGACTCCTTTCATAGTTATAAATAGTGTGCTATTCCTTAACTTTATCCCTTTAGACATTAAACATAGATTCCCTACTCTGAAGTATGCGAGTTCATAACTCACTTCAATTACTCCTTACCTTTCCTCTCCTGCACCAGTTTTATTCTAAGTCTTGGTAGCTGGATATAATAGTCACCTATAGTTCCTGTTCTATCAAAGTTTCTGTTGTATCCTCATCTCTTTCTTGTTTCCTACACCTACCAACTAAATTTTGCTTTCACTGTCAAAACACATTAAAGTATACATTTAGTTCTTGTGGTAGGCAGAATAATGACCCTCCAAAAATGTACACATCCTCATTCCAGAACCTGTGAACATATAAATTTATAAGGCAAGGGAGATTAAGGTTGCAGATGGAATTAAAATTTCTTATCAACTGCTTTTGAAATAAAGAGTATCCCAGATTATCTAGGTAGGTCCAATACAATCACAAAAGGTCCTTATCAAGAGGAGACAGAAAGACCAGAGTCAGAGAGCAAATGACTTAGAAGATACTTTGCTGTAGGCTTTAAAGATGAAAAATGAGGCCACAAGCAAGGAAAGGGTAGCCTCTTCCCTAAAACCACCAGAAAAGAATGCAGCTCCACCAACAGTGTATAAAAACAGCATTAATATATACAATTTATATATAGTATGTGTCATTTAAAAATTTTAATTAAAAACTTTGATTTTCACAGAATCCCATTTTAGACTTCTGATCTTCAGAGATATAAGAACATAAAGTTGTTGAAATACCAATGAGAAACTAATACAGTTCTATACCCATAATTAATCATTTTACACTTACTCTATAGATTAATTTTAAAATTTGAAAACCAGCAAGGGGACTTTGTATCAGTATGACTATAAACATTATCTTTTGGGGGAATTGCATTTCTTTCTTTGGAGCCTATCATCCACTTTAATTTTCCTATTTCTCTATAGTTTCTTTTGGCTAGGAGAATAAATATTTTATATATTCATTGTGAATGTGGAGGTAGGGCACATTAACTCTTCTATGTATAGACCTTCAGATAATGACCCTGTTTTTCACCTGTTTTTGAGACACTCTCCTAGTTGTTCCTACAGTCTTGAGGCCTGCATCCTCTCTGGGTACTGCCAGCCAGCCTCTCCAGTTGGCAGCGCCCCATCTGTTTCCCATCCACGCCCAGGACTGCTTGTCTGCTGGTTTCCTCCGTGGGTACTTTCTGCATTCAAAGTTTTGTTAAGCTCTTTCATTTCTTGTTGTTATCTTTCTCATGGGATTGTACTGTTTTGCTGTCTTTGCTGTTGGTTAATGGAATCTTAAGAAGAAGAGGAGTAAACATAAATTTGTGTGCTCAGTATGGTATTATGAACAGAAAACTCTAGTTTTTTTAACCTATATTTTTAGTACTTTGTTTCCATTTTTAAAAAATTTACAGAGCAAAAACATTTGGAATTCCTTTTGGTTTACACCAAGGTAAATTACCCTCTAGTAAATAATCTCATTTTTCCTCAGTGATTTCGGATGCTGGATTTAAAGCTGGGTGCAGTGGTGCATCCCTGTAATCCCGCAGCTCAGGAGGCTAAGGCAGGAGGATCCTGAGTTTGAGGCGAGCTTCAGCAACTTAGTGAAGCCCTGAACAATTTAGTGAGACCCTGTCTCAAAGTAAAAGATCTGGGGATATAGCTCAGTGGTAGAGTACTCCTAGGTTCAATCCCTACACCAAAAATGACAATGGATTTATCATGTACTAAATCTACATACATGCACATGTATGCACAAATACATGTATGTACATATAGGTCCATGTCTGGATTTATTTTTCTATCCCTCCTCCTCCTCCTCCTCCTCCTCCTCCTCTTCCTCTTCCTCTTCCTCCTCTTCCTCTTCCTTCTCCTCCTTCTCTGAGAAATAATTCCAGATTGTAGTATACTATGCAAGCACTCTACTGCTTAGTTACACTCCCAGTTCATATTTAATCTTTTTTTCATTGCTGTCTATTCTGTCTCTGTATTGCATTATTTTAATTAATATAGATAAATGCTTTTAAATTAGTGTGTGCATATGTCTATACACATGTACAAACTATATATATATATATATATATATATATATATATATATATATATATATAAAATATTTCTAGGAATATGAACAAGGAAATATTAACTGTAATAACATAGAGGAAAAAGAATAAGATGGGTAGTTTAGGAACAAATGTGGGTGGAAGTCTTTGTTTTACTATAGGAACCATATCAGTATTATTACTTTTCCATATATTAATATTATTTTCATTGTCACTACAAATTATGAACATTCCCTTCTGAATCCCAAATATGTTTCTCCATGTAAGGTCTAGCATATGAATGGGAGGCTCTGCCAAAGAAAAGTCCTACAGTATATTGATATTCTGTTTGGTATGACTGGCTTTCTCTCTAAATGCTCAGTATGAAGTAGCTGTAAGAAGACTTTTTGTTCCAGACTCAAATATGTGTGAAATAAGCATATGAAATTCTTCAAAATCTGCCATTAGTTGTGGACAATATTCTCTATTTTCAGCATTAATTCTATTTTCCCTCATTTAGCAAATTATTGTATTAATTTTATAGAAGGATAGTTTGGATACATGATGTTATTTTTCCATCTTTTCTAGAAATTTGATCATTTGTTAGAGTAATAGTTTGATTGTTATCATCTTGGTGTATGTCATCTCCAGATATGTAGCATGGGAGAGACTGAAAAATACACAAAGACAGATCAGAGAAATGGAAATAAAAAGAACACAAGGCAAGATAAAGACCAAGGAACAGAGATAGAAAGATGAAGAAATACTAAAAACAGATTTAAAAAAATATATTCACTGAAGTTGTATAATGAGTTAATCCTCTTGTGTATTTTGCAACCTTAAAAATTAGTCAAATTGAGAATATGTTTCACACTGTATGTTAAAATATTTCACATTTAACACAGATGGAGCTTAATAGGCTGGAGTACAAAGGCAGGGAAGAAATTCCCCAAACCACTTAAAGGGTCATCCTTCATAATAACAAATACAGAGAGAGGCGGCAATAGAGAAAAGGAAAGAGGGAATATGACAGTCCACTTCAGAAAGATGTATTCAGTTATGTAAATCATTAATTTACTCAACTATTCTGCATTTCTGATCCATAAATAATGACTAATTTGTGAATACATATGCATTATGTTTTATATGGTACCCTTGAATATTTCACACACAACACAGATGGCATTTAATAAGCTTAATAAGCTGGGGCACAAGGGCAAAAACAGGATGAGTGAAGTGAGAAAAAAATCTTCCAATCTGATTAATACTTCAGTTCTCACTTTGGCAGAGAAAAAAATGTGGAGAGAAACAAAATATCAGAGCTGTATTTTTAAAAACTGATTCAGTTAACTGATACAATGGATTAATTTGCTAAATTTTCTAAAAGTTCTCTTGTAATTTTCATCCATATAAAACTATCTTGTGTATGAATACCTGTGAATATGCAAAAGTGGCTTTTCACTGTCCTATTTACTGTTTCTGGACCCAGATAGTGTGCATTAAAAGGGAAGAGATGGAGAATCTCCCCAACCTGGTAAAAGATTTCAGTTCTCTATCTCTCTAAGGAGACAGCATTACAGAGGGAAAGAAAATATACAAAAGGATAGTACTGCAGAAAAATATATCAGAACACTCAAAACAAATTGTTAAAATTTGATAAGCCTTTGAGAAGTTCATTTGCTTTGTCTTTCAGATCCATAGAATGTAATTTATGAATAATACATTTTACATTTATGTCTTAAATATTTCACATTAGGGCTGGGGTTGTGGCTTAATGGTAGAGCATTCACCTAGCATGTGCAAGGCCCTGGGTTTAATCCTCAGCATCACATAAAAATAAAATAAAGGTATTGTGTCCATCTACAACTAAAAAATAAATAAATATTTTTTAAAATAAATATTTCACATTATCATAAATAGCATTAATAAGTCCAACTTTTAAGAAAAATAATTTTTCAATTCATTTTCAGTGGAAAAAGAGAGGGAAGGAAAAGGAAAAGGGAGACAGAAAGAGAAGAGTAGATGGACACACACAGGACAAAGAGGTTGAAAAAGAAGCAGAGAGAAAGAAAAGGGTAGCTCCAAAATTATAATGAGGAAAACATGACATAGTTTTGTATGAGATTATTGCTAAATTAAAAAATAAGCCTATGTGTATTTTTCATGTCCATGTAAACAAGCTAGGATGAGAATACACACACAAGATGGATTATATACTGAGGTCTGGATGACCAGATGGTGCTTCCTAGATGTAGGTAAAATGGAGTGGGTAGGGTAAGAAAGTGGGAAATTGCCTGAGTTGTGAATAATGCCACAATGAAATGTGGCTGGAGTAATAGAAGAGAAAATTATGAAACTCTGATAAGAGAGGTATTAGTGTGGTCAGATTTCATGGGTCTTTCTGGGCTAATTGGGGGAATTTGTCTTTTGTTCTTTGGGAGATGGTAAACAATTAGAGTGTCTCTACTAGAAAAGGGATAGCGTCTGAGTTTCTTTCTGGAGACTCAGTGATAATCTGTCCCATACCTCTGCCTACCTTCTACTGATGGACAGCAGCAATCTTTAGCTCTTCTTGGCTTGTGGATGAACCACCCCCAATCTCTCCCTGTGTCTTTCTATGTATCTCCCTCTTCTTACTCTGGTATGGCCTTGTTTTAACAAATTATATCTGCAAAAGTCTTAATTTCAAATAAGGTATATCTTTTGGAAAGACACAACTCAATCCATAACAAGTAAAACACTACTGACAAATCCAGAAAAGTGAGAACTAACTATTGCATTTGATCATGTAATAATTAGCACATGCCTTAGAAGGCTGTTGTTTGGCACATAATAAAAATTCAATAAGTACTCACTCTTTTTTTCCCACAGAGCAAAGTAAGTTTATTTCTATTTATCTGCAGTGAATGAGAAATGCAATTTATAAAACATTTTAACATGGTTTAGAAAAATTAAGTACATGGAAATAAATATAAATAAGTAGAAATCTTTTTATCGGTTCTTTTTAGTTATACATGATGGTGGAGTACATTTTGATGTAAACTTTGGGTGTGAAACACTGCTGATCAGCCCACACTCTGCTATGTAAACTTTTGGCTTCAACCAAATAAATCAATTAGAACATATGTTTCTTTTTACCTCAGTGTCTTGATCTATAAAATTAGAGTAAAATAGCACCTGTCATAGGGTTTTTGCAAAGATTAAATATGTTAATAAAGTTAAAATGCTAGGTGAGTGCCTGTCACAAAGCAAGCACTGTAGAAGAGATCATTATTTCTTAATATTATTTGAGAACATGCATTTATTTAAGTGTATTGGTGCCAAAATTGCTCTGAGTAAGCAATATTGGCACACCAAAAACATACTATTTCATGATTATTAAAGAGCTCTGACTACATGCTTGGGAGGTGCTAGGATGTCTTGTCTTAAATATAATAAGGAGCTCTGTGAACTGAATTAGGGCCCAACTTGCTTTAACAATGTTTATGTGACTACATACTGCCTAATTTTACTCTCTCTCCAGGAGAATATGTTGTCATGACAACCCATTTTCATCTCAAGCGAAAAATTGGCTACTTTGTAATCCAGACCTACTTGCCATGTATCATGACTGTGATTCTGTCACAAGTGTCTTTTTGGCTCAACAGAGAGTCTGTCCCTGCCCGCACAGTCTTTGGTAAGTGTTGCTTGTTGGAAAATGAGGAAGATACATTTGAAAAGACAACTCTGGGTAGTCAGAGAAGAGATGAGAAAGGTTGAAGAACCATTCCTAGAGGTAACTAAGGAGCAAGCCCCACAATAGTAACTAAATCATCAGGTTCTAGGATTTCAGGCAACTGAATTTTTAAAAAGGAAGTGGAATAAGAGGAGTGTTGAAGTAAGATTACTGAAATTCTGCCCTCCTCAGTCAGGATTGCCCGAGGAGTAAGGAAAGGAACTGAACCTTCAGTGGAAAAGGGAGGTATTCAGTGTAGACTGAAGAAAGTAAAGGGTAGGAAATCAAGCTGACAGCATAGAAGTAATTTGGGGCTTTTTAGAGAACCTTTTTTTTTTTTTTTTGGTGTGAGCATCTGACTATGCTGCTTTTACTTTAGCTTTTTTGAAAATATGAATTAGCTAATATTCAGTAAATGCTGCAAACAATTTGAAGAGTTCTTTAAAAATACCTATAATCAGAAAATCTACTCAGTATGAGTTTTCTGATGTCTAGGAAGAGATTTACATATCATTAGCACTTTTTCCCCAGAGACTTAAAGCATACAAAATATTCTCTGCCTGTTCCTCCTGCTGAAAGATTTTTAAGACAAATATTAATTAATTCTTTTGAGCTACTAAACTACCTCCATGGCCTCACACAGAAATCATTACTACCAATATCCTGAAGCTCTACCATGTCATTAAGTAAATAGTAAACGATGTTTCAGAAATTAGTAGCACTTCAGGTCAGGTCTAAGAAGAAACAACAGTGGAGAAAGAGAAAGAGTTATCTTACAGAAAAAAAGAAAAAAAATTTGAAGGGTATGACATCATGGAAGTCAACAGAGGAAAGAATTTAGGAAGCAGGAAAATATCATCTGCAAGTTTATGGAGGATGCATATTCAAACTCTCGGTTGGGTATTGTGGTATACTTCATGTTAGTGATATTGGAAAGAACAGTTCTAGTGAAATGGAGTTAGCAGAAGCTATGTGGGAGTGGGTTAAAGGTGCCCATTTTTGGAAATATAAAATGTAGAGATCCTGAAAAATCCTGCTCTACAAATTCCTAAAAACACTAAATAAGAAAGCATTCTTTTAAGTTAACATCTAATGTCAAAAACATTAAAGGAAATACTTAAAGGCCCCATGGAAGAGGGAATTAAAAAGTGCAGTGTCCATCACATGAACTGATACTCTGTAGTACAAAGATGAGTGAAAGGATTACCCATTTGGATTAAAAAAAAAGTTTTAGTTTTAAGGTTATTCAAGGAAGGCATGGAGCCTAAGTAAAGTTTGGGGTTACAACTAAGGTTGTGTTACACTAAATAGTGGCCCCCAAAGATATTCATGTCAAGTCCCTGGAACTTGTGAATATAACCTTATATGGCAAAAGTAACTTTGAAGAGGTGATTAAGTTCAAAAGCTGGGAAGATTATCCTGTACCTTCTACATGGGCCCTAACTGCAATCACAAGTGTTCCAAGAGTGAGAAGGATATTTGACTACAGAGAAAAAAAGCAGTGAGATGATAGAAATAGGACAGATTGGAATATGTTCTTCTGTTGGCTATGAAGAAGGAGGAAGGAGTCCACGAGAAAAGGAATCCAAATTGTGTAGTTCTGGAAGACGGAAAAGTCAACAGATTATTCTTTTAGAGAATTCAGAGGCAGTGCATTTCTGCTGACACCTTGACCTGAACCCAATGAAATTTATTTCAGACATCTAGTGTATGAATAAATTTGTGTTGTTTTGTCACTAAATTTCCGGCAATTTGTTACATAAAAATATAGGACATTAATGCAAAGACACTGGCCATAAATTCAATACCATTGAAGGGTCATACCCTCAGTGTAAGAAAGCACTAGAAAAACCATCTTATCAGTGCAGGAGACAACAAGAAAGCATTTTTATTTTTGCCTGGGCTCTGTGTGAAATATGGAATTCCTTGAGAATTTATTTTTTTAATTTAAACTTAGCCTCATGCTAATTTAGAATTCATATTTACAGTAACTGCATTGATGTGAAAGCCTCCAAGTTGAAATGTTAATTTAAAAAGTGATTGCAGAGTTTTTATGTAAGAATGCAGAGCCAAAAAATAGCCAGTATTCTTCTAAAGAAGAACAAAGCTGAGAGACTTTCCCCACAAAAGTGTCAAAAATGATTAAAAACTATAGTAATTAAGACTTTGTTATTGGCATAAAGAAAAGAAAATAAATAAATGAAATACTATAGAGAGCTGAAAAATAGATCCATGCCCATGTGTCTGGAAACCTGATTTATCACAAAGATGGCATTGTAGAGAATTAAATTAAAGTTGGTCATAGACTTGAAAATAAAAGCTAAAATTATGATGCTCTTAGAAGAAAATCTAAAGTAATATCTTTGCATCATTTGGTAGGCAGAAATTCCTTATTGCAAAAAAATTAATGACACCAAAGAAAAGGAACTAATACATTCAACTTCATCAAATTTAACAATTTCTGTTCATCAAAGGGTAACATTAAGAAGATGAAATGGCAAGCATAGACTTGAATAAAACATTGCGCATATGCATAAGACTTATAAAGTACGTATATTCCTAAAATATCAAAAGTTCCTGCAACTCCATGATTAAAAGGCAAAGAATCCAATTTTCAAAACAGGCAAAAGACATGAACAACCATTTTACTAAATGAATAGATAGATAGATAGATAGATACATACATAAATATATATATTTCATACACTTATGGGCATGTATATAAATTTTACATACATAAAATGATAAGGATCTTTTTATACACACACACACACATGCATGTCCATAAGTGTATGAAAAGATCCTTATCATTTTTATCAGGGAAACATAAAGTAAAAATTCACAGAGATATCAGTTTAAACACATGCATGGTCATATTTAAAAAGATTGATATTGTCAGATACTAGAGAGCTTCATGAACAATTGGAACTGTAAGACACTACTGGTGGGAATGTAAAGTGAAAAAAAATTTGAAAGTTTAAAATGTGTTTACCCTATAATCTTGGTATTCTCCTACATATACATTTGCATTATTAGACATAGACTTTCAAAAAGCCATGATGTCTATATTTAAGTAGATTAAAGAAATGTGAGAAATCTGGCAGATGCATGGAAATTAAATGAGAGAATGATAGACAGTTGGAAAGAGGGACAAGGAGAGAAAGAGAGAGAGAGAGAGAGAGAGAGAGAGAGAGAGAGAGAGAGAATATATCACATGCACACAGAGAGAATATTGGAAATTGTAGAACTGAAAAACACAGATTAAATCTCAATGGTTTATACATAGTGGAAGGATAATCCATGAACTGGAAGATAGGGCAGAAGAAGATAACTTAAAAGGACACAAATGTAAAATACATAGGAGAGAAAAGACATACAATGTTTTTGAGATGGCCTAATTAGAATCCTGGAAGAAGAGAAGTGAGAGAATGGTACTGATGAAAAATTTAAGAGGTGTTGGCTGACCACTGTACAACCTGAAGAAAGATATAAAGCAGGGGCAGGATAAGGGAGGAAAAGTGTAATGAATCTGACCAGCTTTCTTATGTACCTATATGAATATACCATAGTGAATCTCAACATCATGTATATTCACAAAGTACTACTTTAAAAAAGAAAACCTGTAAGTAAATAGCAGATAGATCAGTAAAGGGAAGGGAACAAGAGGAGGGAGGAGGCAAGGAAAAGGGGAAGTACTGGGGACTGAGTTACAACAAATTGTATAATTATGTCAAAATGAAGCCAATTATTATGTATAAAGAACTAATAAACATTTTAAAAATCTATAAAATCAAGTAGGATAAATTAAGACATGAAAATAAGGACACATCATAGTGAAACCTCTGGAAACAAAAAGCAAAGAGAACAAAATGGTCTTAAAAATAACCTAGAAGAAAACACATTGTCTTTAAAGTGATAACAAACATACTGACAACTGACATCAACAGAAACAAAAACAGGACATTTTAGACAAAAAATAAAATAAAATAAAATGCTAAGCATCCATCATTACCATCTGACCCTCACTCAAGGAAACACTAAAGGTTATTCATCAAACAAAAGGAGAACCATCCTTGAAAGAAGGTTGAAGGTGTATTTAAAAACAAGAATGAAAATAAAACAAAATATGAGTAATGGTAATGTGAATTGAATGTATAAAATAATTACAAGTGATTTATTGGCTCAATAACATGTTTAGAATAAAATACTACACTATAATATATATAAGTTAAGTTAGTGATACATGAAGATAAAATGCTCCATGGGCTTTCACTATCAGGGATAAGTGTACCAATTAATATTTAATTTTCATAAATCAAAGATGCATGCTGACTGAAACTCTCTTATATCTTCTGGGAATTTTAAATGTTACAACTACTTAAAAAACAGTTTGTGTCATATGAAGTTAAACATATGGTCACCATATGATCTTGCAATTCCATCCCTGGATATTTATCAAGAAAAATGAAAGCATACACTCTTACAAATACTTACATGTGATCAATTGAGATAGAGTGACTACAAGGTGGACCCATCCATTCGCCTTTGATATCTGTGTATTTTACTTTAAATGGACCATTTCAAGTAGGAATCTGGTAAGCTCAGCAAGTAGACTCTCAACGCATTCCAGTTGCAACTTGCTCTCATATTATCTCTCTCCAGGTGTCACCACTGTTCTCACCATGACCACCTTGAGTATCAGTGCCAGAAACTCCTTACCTAAAGTGGCATATGCGACGGCCATGGACTGGTTCATAGCCGTCTGTTATGCCTTTGTATTTTCTGCACTGATTGAATTTGCCACTGTCAACTACTTTACCAAGCGGAGTTGGGCTTGGGAAGGCAAGAAGGTACCAGAAGCCCTGGAAATGAAGGTGAGATACAACAAAGGAGAGCTAGGAAGCACTCCCTGAGAGAACTGTATTGAGACCAGGAGTGAGCAGCCTATAGCCTGCAGGAACTGGGCAGGGCTGTGTGCTATTCACTGGGGTCATCAATCCAATTCTCAACTGGAGTGCTTCTTGGCAAGCTGGAGTTTTGTCGTGGTGGGGGGGGGCAATTAAAAGAGAGCAGGTGTTCTCAGTCCATAGAGGGTGTGCCATGGAGGGTTTACATTGTCATGATCAAATGTAAGTGTGATCCTGCTAGATTCAAGGGAAACCCATTGTTTTTACAAAGTCCCCTGGAGGCTTGCACTCTATGTTAAATCCAATGAAAAATCTCTAGAGCCACCTCTGCACATCACTTTCCGGTACACTTACCTTACAGTCAAACCAAATGGATCATCATTCCTTCTGTCTTTGCTTATTTTTGTTTGTTTGATTGTTGTTATTGTTGTTTTGGGGGGCACTGTGGATTGAACCCAGGGTCTAACCACTAAGAATTGAACCACTAAGCCACAGTGCCAGCCCCTTTTAACATTTTGTTCAGAGACAGGGTCTCACTGAGTTGCTTATGGCCTTGCTAAGTTGCTGAGGCTGGCTTTGAACTCGTGATCCTCCTGCCTCAGCCTCCTGAAAAAATGTGCTACTGTGCCCAGCATATTTGCTTATTTTTTATTCTCCACTGAAATGCTATTTCTGCCCCCCATGCTTGGTGAGAGACACTTGAAATGATACTTTCTCCATAGAGCCTTTCTAGAATAATTCAGAGATGTTTAACTTTTATGTGGGAGGGTACTTCTGATATTAAAATAATTTATTTATATTAAAAGTATTTGTTTGGCTCCTTGTTAGACTGTGAACAAATTGAGGTCAGGGACTTATCTGTATCCTTGCACAGCAGACACATTATAAATGCTGAATAAATGTTGGTTAGGAGTGGAGTCTCTCTCTGCTTCCTGGAGTGATGTCCTGAGCCATTTTCCTCTCCACACCCTTCTGTCTCATCTCTGGCCTACAGCTAATGGAGTTGGCCGTCTATGGACAGAGACCACTGAAACTATTGTTGCCCAAAGCTTGGCCCTTGTCCCAGATGCCAATCCAATAACGAGGACACAGTTCTGAGAAAAATGAAATAGACAGTTTATTGTTGGGTTGCTAGCAAAGGAGAAACACAGCAGACTCCTGTCTCAAAGGCTGTGTTTCTGCCCTTCAGCAGGAACAGGGAGGTTTTATAGAGGTGATTCAGAGAAAATGAGATTAGGGAGGAGAGATCAGAGAGAAGATCAGGGAAAAGAAGATCAGGGAGGAGAAGTTTGGGAAAAAGAAAAAAAAAAAACATGTAAGTTTCAAAGCCATAGTCAAGGCATCAAGTGAACTCCTATTATACTATGAGCCCCAAATAAACTTTTTCTACTCTAAAAAAATATTGGTTGGATTGGTGGGTAAATGGTAAAGAAGGGAGGAAAAAATAAACCAACTGATTAGTAGGAGTTAATCATGAATGTGGAATCAAGATTTTTCTTCCTTTGATCCCTTAAATGAGTTAAGGAATCTAAATTTAGATGAATATTATCAAATATGATAGAAAGAACTGGCAGATGTGAACCCAGAATTGTTTTAGTACTTTTCAAAGAATCACAGAGAATAGAAATGGTAATGAAGATTTTTCAAACTGGGGGAAAAGACATTTTCTAAAGAGTACAAAATGGTGAGTTGGCAAATTTTTGAAATAGACTCTAACTACTTATTTAAATAGAACTTATTAACACTTTCTTAGTATATCTGTTTGATCATAAGAATTTGGGGTTAGTTTTATTAATATACTTAGTCAAATTATTACTTCTGTTTGCTTAAATGTTTGTCTCTCTATGTCTTGATTTATCTTGGGTGAAAATCATCAGTTGCTCCCCACCCAACTATTATTACTCTGTAAGGAAACCAGGATACTAATCCTAACTCTTTCCATCTTGCTCTACCAATTCCTTTCATCTCCCAAACTTGTTATATTACTATTATAAGGCCACAATTTCTATAGTTGTCTCATCATAGTTCTACATCTTAATGGGTTCTTTTCTTTTTCTTTTTTTTCCCCAATTTTTCCATTCATTGGTTGGTTACCTCAAGGTTATCTTCTAGAAGTTTCCTTAAGAAGGTCCCATGGGAACCATATTTTGTACTTTCTTAAATGCATAAAATATCTGTCCATTGTGTTTATACTTGAATTATAAGCAGGCTGTTGTGCAGTGGATGGGATGCGTTCTCTTTCTCTGATGACTACAGACTTTGGTTGCTATAATCAATTCTGGCATTTGATGTTTTTTTTTCCAGAAATCTAGAGACACCTTGACAATTTCTCACAGTATAGGAGACTTTACTTAAAAGCCCATATAAATGTATCTCTTATTTGTGAAGTCCAGTTACTTAACAAGGATATATCCTAATCTGTATAAAATTTTCCCAGGATACAACATTGGCCTTTAAATCTATAGATTCATTACCTTATTTTTCAGGAAATCTTCCTTAAAAATATATACTAGCCAGGAGCAGTGGTGCATGACTGTAATTCCAGTGGCTTGGGAGGCTGAGGCAGGAGGATCTCTAGTTTAAAGCCAACCTCAGCAACTTAGTGAGGCTCTAAGAAACTCTGTGAGACCCTGACTCTAAATAAAAGAAAGGGCTGGGGATGTGGCTCAGTGATTAAGTGCCCCTGGGTTCAATTTCTAGTACCAAAAAAATACTTGTTATGTTCTCTTCCTAGAAAGTCAAATTATGCATATCATAGAACTTTGTTGATCTTTCATATCTATCATTTCTTTTCTAATAATTTTAGTTCTTTATTTTCCATTTCATTTTCATAAGCCTATCTTTCATGTCCCTTACCATTTTCAACATGGTAATTTTTCTTCAGTTATCACTTAGTTTCATTAGAGGTGGTCTTTACTAGCCCTGCTATAGGTGGAAGCATCAATTTAGGTAGGGCATGACTGAGAGTGAGAAGGACAATAGTGAGTAGTCTAGAATGAGTAGTATCAAGTTCGTATTTGAGTAGCATTTGTTGTCTATATAAGCTCTTACGAGTTTTACTCCGAATAGTGATTCTGCTTCTACCTTGCAAGAAGTTTCCTTTACTCACAGGAAAGCACTCTATATATGGTACACTTCTATGTATGTGTATATGCACGTGCCCAACAGTATAAATTTGGTTTTGTATCTTTTAACTGTCCACTCCCTACCTTCTCTGACCTTTATGGTGGTCAAAAAGAATTATAGGATATTTTAACTACCAGCATGACACTGATTTTATTTTAAAACAAAGATCATTTTTTTCCTCTCTGAAGCCATACTAGCCACTTTTTGAGATCAAGCTTATAAAAGAACTTAAGTTTCATCAAAAGATGAAGTTTTAGGACTGAGAATATAGCTGAGGTAGATTGCTTGCCTAGCATGTGCAAAGTCCTGGGCTTGGTCCTCAGCACTTCAAAAAAGAAAAAAAAAAAAGCAAGATAAAGTTTTAGTTTCCTTTATTTGCCTTGTTGTTTTTATTTGGATTTAGAGAGGAAAAGGAATCAAAGATATACTAACTTTAACATAGTAAACTTAAATATTTCTAGAATATATTATTAAACAGACATTTTAAGAGCAATTAACAGAATAAGGAATATATAACCTGAGTTTACTAAGAGAAAATTATGACAAACTAACCTTATGACCTTTATAAAAGGTTTAATGAGCTGGTAGATCAGGAAATGTCATAGATTTTATCAAGTGATTTGAGTAACTTTGCATTATGCCCCCATGGTGAATAGAAAGTAGTTAAAAATAGGTATCATTAGGCTGATGTAATTGGTTGACCAATTGAATTCAAATAGAATTCACTGATGGATTGACATTAACTTGAATTGAGATCCCTGAGAATAATTCATGCTTTTTTTAACCCTTCAAATGTTGTCATCAATGACTCAGATGAAGACACATAAGGAATAAGATTCACATTTATAAGGGAGTGTTAGTGAATGTTAATTACTTGGGAGAGGAGTATTTTTGAATTAAAAATCAAAAAGAATTTCTGAAGTTTGAAAGGACAATCTAAAGCTAAAAGGCAACATTTTTTAAATCAAAAATTCTGGGATGTAAAATCTTAAAAACAATTGCACATTAGAAATGTAATGTTGGGGGGCTAGGTTGTAGCTCAGTGGCAGAGCACTTGCCAAGCAAGTGTGAGGCTCTGGGTTCAATCTTCAGCACCACATAAAATAAATAAATAAAATAAATGTAAAAGAAAAAGAAATGTAATGTTGGAAGATGGGAGAAATTCAAATGTAAACTTACCATGTGGCACAACGTTTAAGAATTGCAATTTGATTTAGTTCTGAGTTAAAATGTATAACAAGTGAGATGATAAGCTCATTTTATTCTGTATAGGTTGACCCATGTGAAGTTTACTCTTTCAATTTGATTGATATACTGGAGGAGGGGAAAACGCTTCAAGAAGGTGGTTATTTCTAATTATAGATATCTGAAAGGCTACCATGGATATCTTGTGAAAAAATGAGGTTGATTTTTTTTTGTTTCTTTGTTTTTGTTTTTGTTGTTGTTTTTGTGGCCAGGAAGAGGTACTAAAGTGGTTTGAAGATAGAGAAGTAGAGTAGACTGAGAAATTGTTGAGGTAGATGTCAAAAATAATGACCATTTCTCCACCCAGTGTTGAAAATTAATTTTTTTAAAAAAAGGAACAAAAACAATGGTCTAAAACTTTTTTGAAAAGATGATAATCTTAGTCTTCCTTCTTAGCCTTCCCCATGATCAAAATATTTACATTCTCTATAAGAAGCAGATTGTAACATTTTAAAAATAAATATGGAATGCATAAAATGTATCTATAATGTGAAGATCCTATACTTTATACTTCCATGATGTGTAGGAATAGTGAGACTCATAGAAATAGGCATAAAGTACTTTGAAGTCAGCATACTAGAATTTAATCATAGTTT